CCAGCGGGGGGGGGAGGGGAAAGGAGGGAATTGGGGGAAAAATCCAAGGAAAAACGGGAAAAGCGGGAGAGGGAAACGAGAAAAATGGGATTTGGAGGGTTGGGAATTCCACGGAGCCGCCGCCTCCGGAGGGGCCGGGAAAAGCGGGAAGAGCCGGGAATTCCACGATGGAATCCCGGTGATCCGGGAGCTGCTCCGGGAATGGGAATTCCAATGGATTTCCTGGGATTCGACCATGGATTTCCCGGGATTCCCCTGCAAATTTCCCGGGATTTGACCGCAGATTTCCCAGGATTTGTCCACAAATTTTCTGGGATTTGACCGTGGATTTCCTGGGATTTGGCCCCAGATTTCCCAGGATTTGACCATGAATTTCCCAGGATTCCCCTGCAGATTTCCCAGGATTCACCCGGGGATTTCCCGGGATTTGACTGCAAATTTTCTGGGATTTGACCGTGGATTTCCCAGGATTCACCCACGGATTTTCTGGGATTCGACTGCGGATTTCCCAGGATTTGGCCCCGGATTTCCTGGGATTTGGTCCCGGATTTCCTGGGATTTGGTCCCGGATTTCCCAGGATTCACCCGCGGAATTCCCAGGATTTGCCCCCAGAATTCCCGGGATTCCAAACCCTGGAAGAGGCTTCGGGAGCCCGGGAAGCTCCGGGTTTTTTGGGATCGGCGTTTCCAGCCCCGTTCCCATGGATTGGGATTCCTGACCTGGGAGGCTCCTGGATTTCCCTGGAAAAAGATTCCCGATCCCAAAAAATTCCTGATTTTCCCTGGATCAGGATTCCCATTCCCAGAAAATCCAGGAGAAACCAACGCAGCTCCCGGAAAATCCCGGGAAATCCTCCGGAAGCGCCGAAAGTTCCGATCCAAGGAGGGATTTTTTCCAGGACTTTTCCAGGATTTTTCCACGATTTTCCCATCATTTTTCCCATTTTTTTTTCCATGATTTTTCCCTTATTTTTCCAAGATTTTTCCAAGACTTTCCCATGATTTTTCCCGAAATTTTTCCCAAGGTTTTTCCGTTATTTTCCCAAGATTTTCCCATGATTTTCCCATTATTTTCCCGAATTTTTTCCCCAGGATTTTTCCCATTTTTTTTCCCAAGATTTTTCCATTTTCCCAAGAATTTTCCTACGATTTTTCCCAAGGTTTTTCCATGATTTTCCCAACATTTTCCCATTCTTTCCCCAGGATTTTTTTCCATGATTTTTCCTGAGATTTTTCCCAAGATTTTTCCATTGTTTTCCCATGATTTTTCCATGATTTATCCCAATATTTTCCCATTATTTTTTCCATGACTTTTCCATGATTTTTCCCGATATTTTTTCCATCATTTTCCCAAGATTTTCCCAAGATTTTCCCGTTTTTTCCCAGGATTTTCCCCATTATTTTCCCATTTTTTCCCAAAATTTTTCCATGATTTTCCCAAGATTTTTCTCAAGTTTTTCCCATTTTTTTCCATGATTTCCCGCAAGATTCCCCCACGATTTTCCCCATTATTTTTCCATGGTTTTTCCATGATTTTCCAAGATTTTCCCATTTTTTCCCATTATTTCCCCATTATTTTTCCATGTTTTTTCCCAAGATTTTTCCCATTATTTTTCCATGATTTTTCCTCAGATTTTCCCATGATTTTTCCACAATTTCCCCCAAGATTTTCCCATTTTCCCAAGATTTTTCCATCATTTTCCCCACTTTTTCCCCAGGATTTTTCCCATGATTTTTCTCGCGATTTTTCCATGTTTTTTCCATGATTTTTCCAAGATTTTCCCAGGATATTTCCCTTTCTTTTTCCATGATTTTTCCCGGGATTTTTTCCATGTTTTTTCCACGATTTTCCCAAGATTTTTCCCTGATTTTCTCCATTCTTTTTCCATGATTTTTCTTGAAATTTTTCCATGATTTCCTCCAAGGTTTTTCCCATTTTTCCATTTTTTCCCAGGATTTTCTCCATTATTTTTTCCGTCTTTTTTTCCATAATTTTTCCCACGATTTTCCCATTTTTTCCCCCATTCTTTTTCCATGATTTTCCCAAGATTTTCCCATTTTTTTCTCAGGATTTTTCCATGATTTTTCCAAGATTTTCCCATTCTTTTCCCAGGATTTTCCCCATTATTATTCCATGATTTTTCCCAAGATCTTTCTATGATTTTTCCCAAAGTTTTCCATGATTTTCCCAAGATTTTCCCATTTTTCCATTCTTTTCCCAGGATTTTTCCCAGGGTTTTTCTTGAGATTTTTCCATGATTTTTCCCAAGATTTTTCCCCAATTCTCCACAAGATTTTTCCAATTTTTTTCCCCATTTTTTCTTCAGGATTTTCCCAAAATTTTCCCAGGATTTTTCCATGTTTTATCTACGATTTTTCCCCATCATTTTCCATGATTTTTCTTGAAATTTTTCCACGATTTCCCCCAAGATTTTTCCCATTTTTTTCCCAGGATTTTCTCCATTATTTTTTCCATGTTTTTTTCCATAATTTTTCCCACGATTTTCCCATTTTTTCCCCATTATTTTTCCATTATTTTTCAAATATTTTCCCTTTTTTTTCCCCAGGATTTTCCCAATTCTCCCCAAGATTTTTCCATGATTTTCCCCAATATTTTTCCACATTTTTCCCAGGATTTTCGCATTTTCCCCCATAATTTTTCCATGATTTTTCCACCTTTTATCCCTGATTTTTCCCCACTATTTCCCCCATCATTTCCCCATCATTTTCCACGATTTCCCCCATTTTTCCCATCCTTTCCCCCCATTTTTCCATCATTTTCCCACAATTCCCCCTCCCATTCCCAAAAAACCCCAAAAAAACCCCCAAAAACTCCAATAAAAACCCCAAAAAACCGGGAAAAAATCCCCAAAACGTTCGGATCCGGATCCGATCCCGGGAGCCGGAGCCTCTCCCGGATTTTCCCGGCTTTTCCCGGCTTTTCCCGGATTTTCCCGGATTTTCCCTGGATGGGGATCAGTCTCTGCCGGCTCTTCCCGGTCAATATTTCACTCCGGGAATGAATTCCTTGGCGTCCGGGTTCAGGGAGCTTTTGCTCTGGAATAAAACGGGAATTCTGGGATCAGGATCGGGAATTTTGGGATCAGGGTCGGGAATTTTGGGATCGGGGTTGGGAATTTTGGGATCAGGGTTGGGAATTTTAAGATCGGGATTGGGAATTTCCCAAAATTGGGAATTTTGAGATTGGGGTCGGGAATTCTGGGATCAGGATCAGGAATCTTGGGATCAGGATTGGGAAATTTGGGATCGGGATCGGGAATTCTGGGATCGGGATTCAGAATTTTGGGATTGGGATTCGGAATTTTGGGATTGGGGTCGGGAATTTTGGGATCTGGGTTGGGAAATTTGCGATCAGGATCGGGAATTTCCCAAAATTGGGAATTCTGGGATCGGGGTTGGGAATTTTGGTATCAGGATCTGGAATTTTGGGATCAGGGTCAAGAATTTTGGGATCAGGATTGGGAATTTTGGGATCAGGGTTGGGAATTTCCCAAAATTTGGAATTTTGGGATCAGGATTGGGAATTCTGGGATCAGGATCAGGAATTTTGGGATCAGGATCGGGAATTTGGGGATTTTTCCTGGGAATTCCCGGAGTTTGGGATTCCTGGAGGTCGGGGTGGGTTTGGGGGAAGTTCTGAGGGGATTTTTGGGAATTCTGGGATGGGGCCGGGGAGGGATCCGGGAATTCCGAAGGGATTTTGGGATGGGGAACCAGGAAAAAATTCCAGGGACAGAATTCCAGGGATGGGAAAATTCCAAGGATTGACCAATCCCAACAATGGGAGAATTCCAAGGGCAGGAGAATTCCCAGGGATTGGAGAACTCCAGGAATGGGAGAATTCCAGGGATTGGGGAATCCCAGGGATGGAGAATTCCAGGGATTGGGGAATTCCCGGGATTTGGGGATCCCTGGATTGAGAATTCCCGGGATTTGGGGAATTCCCGGGATTTGGGGATCCCTGGACTGGGAATTCCCGCGGGAATCGCGGCCGGTGCTCACCAGGATCTCCTGGCTCCGCTCGGGTCCGGATTTCAGATCCCGCTCGGGAATGAACCAATCCCGCTGCTCCTCCTCCTCCAGCATCTCCTGCAGGCAGCGATCCAGGAATTCCTGCTCCCGCAGCTCCTCCTGCACCTGGAAAAACCCGGAATGCCGGGAAAAACCCGCGGAGATCCCATGGAAAAACCGGGAAAAAACCCGGAATTCCAGGAAAAAAACCTGGAATTCCGGGAAAAACCCACGGAGATTCCATGGAAAAACCCGGAATGCCGGGAAAAAAAACCGGAATTCCAGGAAAAAAACCTGGAATTCCGGGAAAAACCCGCGGAGATTCCATGGAAAACCCGGAATTCCAGGAAAAAAACCCGCGGAGATTCCATGGAAAAAAACCCGGAATTCCAGGAAAAACCCACGGAGATTCCATGGAAAAACCCAGAATTCCGGGAAAAAAACCCGGAATTCCAGGAAAAACCCGCGGAGATCCCATGGAAAAACCCAGAATTCCGGGAAAAAAACCTGGAATTCCGGGAAAAACCCGCGGAGCTCCAGAATTCCAGGAAAACCTCGGCACTCCAAAGATTCCCATGGAAAAACCCCTGGAATTCCGGGAAAACTCTCAGAGCACCAGAATTCCAGGAAAAAACTCGGAGCTTCAGAGATTCCCATGGAAAAAGTCCTGGAATTCCTGGAAAAACCTGCAGAGATCCAGAGATTCCATGGAAAAATCCACGGAATTCCAAAGAAAACCTCCGAACTCTCAAGATTCCCATGGAAAAAACCCCGGAATTCCTGGAAAAACCCTCAGAGCTCCAAAGATTCCAAAGAATTCCCGGTTTTCCGCCTGGCACGGCTCGATCCTTTCTAATCCCAAATTCCTGATGGTGGGAATTGAGAATTCCAAATTTCCAAAATTCCTCCCAAAAAATTCCCGATTCGAAAATCCCTGGAATGTTCTGAGAATGTTCCTGGGATTTCTTGGGAATTTCCTGGGAATGTTCTGGAATTTCCTGGAATGTTCAGGGGATTTTCTGGGAATTTTCTGGAATATTCCAGAATTTCCTGGAATGTTCTGGGAATATTTTAGAATTTCCTGGATTTTCCTGGAATATTCTGGAATTCTCTGGGAATGTTCTGGGAATGATCTGAAATTTCCTGGATTTTCCTGGATTTTCCTGGATTGTTCTGGAATGTTCTGGAATTTCTTGGATTTTTCTGGAATGTTCCAGGAATTTTCTAGGAATGTTCTGGAATATTCTGGAATTTCCTGGATTTTCCTGGAATGTTCTGGGAATTTTCTGGATTTTTCTGGAATATTCTAGGAACGTTCTGGAATCTCCTGGATTTTTTCTGGAATGTTCTGGAATGTTCCAGATTTTCTTGGAATATTCTGGGAATTTCCTGGAATATTCTGGGAATGTTCTGGAATTTCTTGGATTTTTTTCCTGGAATGTTCTGGAATGTTCTGGATTTTCCTGGAATTTCCTGGAATATTGTGGGAATGTTCTGGAATGTTCTGGACTTTCTTGGAATATTCTGGGAATTTTCCTGGAATTTTCTGGATTTTCCTGGAATGATCTGGAATATTCTGGATTTTCCTGGAATATTCTGGGATTTTTCTGGAATGTTCTGGGAATATTCTGGAATTTCCTGGAATTTTCTGGAATATTCTGGATTTTCCTGGATTTTTCTGGAATATTCTGGGAATTTTCTGGATTTTCCTGGAATTTCCTGGATTTTTCTGGAATGTTCCAGGAGCAGGATGAGGCTCCAGAGCCAATTCCAGCTCTTTATTCCCAAATTCCGGAGCTCTCCGAGTCCGGAACGTTCCGGCAGCTCCAGAAATTCCCGGAAATCCGGGAATTCAGGATGAGCCCAATTCCAGGAAAAACAAATCCCAAAATTCCCGGGAGATCAAATCCATCCTCAGGGAATTTTTTTTCCCGGTTTTTTTTCCCCCACCTCCAGGGATTTTCCCAAAGAATTCCTCGGGAAGAGCCAGAAAATTCCGGGAATTTTGGGAATCTCACCTGGCGATCGAAATCCTCCTCGTTCTCCATCCACAGGAATTCCGCAAACGGCTCCGGATCCGAGCCCGGGAGCTCCTGCCCGCCCGGAGCCGCCGGGAATTCGGGATCCGAGCCCGCGGAGCCGGAGCCGCTCATCCTCCGGAATTCTGGGAGCGGGAAAATCGGGATTTGGGATTTTGGGAAAGGATCCAGGATTTGGGATTTGGGATTTTGGGATTTGGGGAATTTGGGATTTGGGGAATTTGGGATTTGGGATCTGAGATCGCGGAGCCGCTCATCCTCCGGAATTCTGGGAGAGGGAAATTTGGGATTGGGGATTCAGGATTTGGGGATTTGGGATCAGGAATTTGGGATTCGGGATTTTGGGATTTGGGATTTTGGGGATCAGGAATTCGGGATTTGGGATTTGGGATTTTGGGGATTTGGGATTTTGGGAATTCGGGATCCGAGCCCGCGGAGCCGGAGCCGCTCATCCTCCGGAATTCTGGGAACGGGAAAATCGGGATTTGGGATTTTGGGGATCAGGAATTTGGGATTTGGGATTCGGGATTTGGGATTTGGGGATTTGGGATTCGGGATTTTGGGATTCGGGATTTTGGGGATTCGGGATCCGACCCGGCAGAGCCAGAGCCGCTCATCCTCCGGAATTCTGGGAGAGTGGGATTTGGGATTTGGGATTTGGGATTTTGGGAATTCGGGATCCGAGCCCGCGGAGCCGGAGCCGCTCATCCTCCGGAATTCTGGGAATGGGAAAACTGGGATTTGGGATTTGGAATCAGGAATTTGGGATTTTGGGATTTGGGAAAGGATCCAGAATCTGGGATTTGGGATTTTGGGATTTGGGGTTCAACCCCGCGGAGCCGGAGCCGCTCATCCTCCGGAATTCTGGGAACGGGAAAATCGGGATTTGGGATTTTGGGGATCAGGAATTTGGGATTTGGGATTCGGGATTTGGGATTTGGGGATTTGGGATTCGGGATTTTGGGATTCGGGATTTTGGGGATTCGGGATCCGACCCGGCAGAGCCAGAGCCGCTCATCCTCCGGAATTCTGGGAGAGAGAAAATCGGGATCTGGGATTTTGGGATTTTGGGATTTGGGGTTCGACCCCGCAGAGCCAGAGCCGCTCATCCTCTGGAATTCTGGGAGCGGGAAAATTGGGATTGGGGATTTGGAATCAGGAATTTGGGATTTGGGATTTAGGAAAGGATCCAGAATCTGGGATTTGGGGATTTGGGGAATTTGGGATTTGGGGTCTGAGATCGCGGAGCCGCTCATCCTCCGGAATTCTGGGAGCGGGAAAATCGGGATTTGGGATTTGGGATCAGGAATTTGGGATTTTGGGATTTGGGAAAGGATCCAGAATCTGGGATTTGGGATTTGGGATTTGGGAATTTGGGATTTGGGATCCGACCCTGTGTAGCTGGAGCCGTTCATCCTCCGGAATTCTGGGAGCGGGAAAATCGGGATCGGGGATTTTGGGATCCGGGAAAGGATCCAGGATTTGGGATTTGGAATTGGGAACGGGAATTGGGATTGGGAATGGAAATTGGAGCAGGATTGAGGATTTTGGGATTGGGAATGGGGGATGGGAATGGGGGATAGGGAATGGGAATGGGGATAGGAGCGGGATTGGGAATGGGATTGGGAACTGGGAATTGGAGTAGGATTGAGGATTAGGATTGGGAATGGGATTGGGATTGGGAATGGGATTGGGAATGGGATTGGGATTGGGATTGGGATTGGGAATGGGATTGAGCCGATCCCGGTCCCCCAGAGGCCCTTCGGGGACTCTTTGGGATCCCGGGATGCCGCTCAGGG